CCAGCCTAGAGGACAGGGTGGAACTGGCCCTGTGGGTGCCGAGATTGTAACTCTTTCCTGGAGTAGAAAGCCTCCTCTTCCTCCCAAGAAGCAGCTGGTGGTTTCTAACTACTGCCCTTGTGTTAGCAGCCCAACGCATAACCACTACACTACCAGGGCTCCTTTATGAGAGTAGAAAGCCTACTCTCTCTCCTGTGGAGCGGCTGCTGGTTTCGAACTGCTAACCTCGCAGTTAGCAGCTCAACTTCTAACCCAGGACGCCACCAAGGCTCCTCAGGAGGAATGCCACGGAGGTTGAATTCATGCAGACTCATCCTTGGCTTTGAGGGTTCCACTGTAACCCACAGCTGTCTGCAAACTGAGCTCTAAGCTCCAATGCTAGTCCCAGCTCCGAAGCTGCTGCTCTTTCTCTCCGGGACTCGGCTTCTGCGGGGAAGGTTTGAGCAGAGTTACAGTCTCGTAAACCCATGGGGCCAGTTTGGCCCCGTCTATAGGCTTGCTGTGGGTCAGCCTTGACACTCCATGGCAGTGAGATTGGTTGGGAAGGTGGGCCCATGTGCACCTCCAGGAAGCTGCCCTCTCCTCCTCCCTTGCTAACAATCCCCTGTGCCTGCCTCCCCATCCAGGTGAGCATCTCCACCGTGGGCTACGGAGACATGTGCCCCGAGACCCACCTGGGCCGGCTCTTCGCCTTCCTCTGCATTGCCTTCGGGGTCATCCTCAACGGGATGCCCATCTCCATCCTCTACAACAAGTTCTCCGACTACTACAGCAAGCTCAAGGCCTACGAGTACACGGCCATCCGGAGGGAGCGGGGCAAGGTGCAGTTCCTGCGGAGGGCCACCAAGAAGATGTCCGAATGCTGGGCCCAGAGCAGCTCCTCCCCTCTCCCCGAGCAAGAGCACCGAACCTCAGTGGGATGAGTGTCTACCAGATTCCCACGACAGCAAAGCTCCTTCATCTTTACAGGGCGTCGGGATGAAAGGGCGCTCCCAGCAGACCCTCACAAAGGGCTCAGAAAGTCCTGCCACTAGAACCACTCCATGTGGTCCCCGTTCAGACCGCTTCCCTCCTGATGTCCTTGTGTGTGCTGGCCTCCCAGGGGACCTTGAACATCCTCTCCCCACTGAACCTGAACATTCTCTCTGCTCTAGTTCCACCTGTCATGGTCATTATCGATCTGCCGCCAATCATGCTTCGGTGTGGTGATGGCCTTTGCCCTCTCACGTCCTTTGTAAGTCTCTGAACCTCTGGAAACCCCTGGGTGACCCTATTAGGACCTTGGGCTAATGGTCTCCCGCATCAGGATGATGTGTCTTAGTCTGGTCTGTTCCTGTTTTGTTTTTTCAATTAGATTAAAAAATCTCCTTGAGATGACCAACACCTTTGATTTCTCTTGTAAGCGCCTCACAGTACCTAGCTCAGTAAACGTTGCCTTGAAAAGATGTCCCTTGCTTTTTTTTTTTTTAAATCAATTTATTGGGGCTCATACAACTCATCACAATACATAGATCAATTGTGTAAAGCACATCTATACATCTGTTGCCCTCATCATTCCCAAAAGATCTCCCTTGCTTTAGAGAAGAAAGAGGTCTTTGAGTTTCTAGAGCTAGGGAGTGCAGCAGTGACAACTGTGGAAGCTTGGGGTTAAACCGACCCGGGTCAGGATCCAGACCACCAGCTGCAGTTCGAGGCGCTTATTCTAATCCTCTGAGGATTGTTTCTACTGGACAGTGTCAATCACAAGATCTCCCTTGAGGAGCCCAGGAGCCCTGGCAGCATAGTGGTTAAACATTGGGCTGCTCACTGCAAGGTCAGCAGTTTGAAACCACCAGC